AATATATCTTTATTGATTTCAGAGAGAGGAAAGGAGAGGGAGAGAGAGATAGAAACATGAATGATGAGAGAGTCACTGATCGGCTGCCTCCTGCACAGCACCAACTGGGGATCGAGCCTCAACCCGGGCATGTGCCCTGACCGGGAATCAAACCCTGATCTCCCAGATCCTAGGTCAATGCTCAACTGCACAGCCACGCCGTCTGGGCCAGAAGTCACCTTCACTAGGAGTGCTAATGCATGGTCAAGACACGGTACAGAGCAGTGTGTTCAGAGCGGGATGGCTAGAAACAGGAGCATGTCTACACATGGCACTCAGAAGCCTGGGGCCAGTCAGAGAGAGGGACAGCAGAGTCACAGGGAAGCCTTGCTAAGCGAAGGGGAACTGAGTACATTAGGAGGGGGGGAGAGGAAGCTGACTAGAAAGGCAGCACCAGAAACAGAAAAGTGTGGAACTCAAAACACAGGCTGGAGAGCTGGCTCCACGAAGAGGCAAACACTGCTTTCCCTTAGCTCCAACCATCTCCTGGGACAGCTGTCTGAGGACAGCCTAAGTCTGGGGTCTNGCTCCGACCATCTCCTGGGACAGCTGTCTGAGGACAGCCTAAGTCTGGGGTCTTAAGGAATCTGGGTATGAGAACACAGGAAGATAAGCACTCCCAGGGCACCTGCTTCCCAGAGTTCGGCTTGTCTGACTCTCCCCTCTGAGAAGCCTCGCGAAGGCCTAGCTACCGAGACGTGACCTCAGTCAGGGCAAATTAGAAGTGCAGTGGCAGCACCTGAGAGATCCCCAGTGATGGAGGAGGTGCCAAAGTAGTAGCCCCTGGGCAGGCGGACCCCGGGCACCTCAATGCAGTCCCTCCACTCATGCTTGCCATCGATGTCCATCATTATCTAGAATAAAAAGAAGAGAGAAATCAGGGCCAGGCCACGGGAGAAAGAGCCAGACAGCCCACACTGCCAACTGGTCCAGAACAAGCACTCACCGTCAGATGCCTCTTGACATAGCGAATCACAAGGAAGGTGTCATAATGGAGGTTGCGGACAATGGCCGTACAGCCACCCAGCTCTGTGGGCCGCCCATCCCGCTCATGATCATAGCTGAGGGAGCCATTGTTGACCATGGCTGAGATGTAGGGGAACACCCGCTAGGAGAGCAGGGAAGGAAGAGCAGAGGACAGTGAGGAAGTACTCTCAGGAATGCCTGGGCAATCAGCAACAGGAACCACGCACATACAAGCTGAGCACCTTACAGAGACCAGACAACAGCCCGGCCTCATTGTTAACAACCCGCTAGCACCCACACTCAAGGGATATGGCCCAGGAAGTGACTCACTCTGTACTTGTCTTCAGGAGTCCCCTTGCTACAAACCTGGGTGGGTCTAAAATGGTCCCTCTCAGGCTCTGGAGCCTGACTCTAATCTCTCAGATCACTATTTTGCACTGTTCTTCTGCCCCAGACTAGTGGCTTTCTTTTTATGTATATTTACCCAACTGCCATGTAAACTTCTTTAAGAAAAAAATAGTTTATTATGCTTCTTTGCATGTCTCCAACTTAGCCCATCCCTTCTCCCCCAGAGTGTTTTGTACACAACAGGTATTCCGAAAATACCTGTTTAGTCAGGGGAATCTTTCCATTCAGGATAGCTCCTTCCAAATTCTAAAATCCTATAAGCACATGATGCTAAATGGATCAAGACTCAGAAGAGCAGCTCTACCAGAACCAGGCTGCTAGGTGGTATTCTCCAGTCAAGATGACTGTTTTAGCCAAAAAAACCTTTGAGCCCCGTTAAGCTTCAGCCACACACAACTTCTCCCAATAATACACAGGGCAAGGATCTCCCACTGTAAGTTTCCCCAGGTCCCACCCATATTTCCACCTACTTCAGAGGCCCTCTCTCTTCAGTAGAGTTGTAGGAGCAAATTCTTCCTTCGAAATAATGGGCTAACCATTCTAGAGCAAGCCCAGTGCTAGGCAGTGCAGATGGAAGGAGAGGATGCGTGACACATGCCACGAGGTGAGTTGCACACCCCCACAGCCAGCATGCAAGGTGAAGACACACTCAAAACCAGAGGCTGGTGGTTCTTGAGACAAGAGCCACGTGGATTCTAAACAGTAGCAAACGCTGGATAAACACACAGGGAATAAAGGATGGCCACGGTGGGTCAAGAACTGAGTACCTGGACTCCTGGAGAGTATCGCCTCTTCTGGGCCTGAGAGGGTCCAACAGGTTTGAAAACAAGAGAGGGCACAGAAGACAGGAGACCAAGTCAGAAAGAAACAGCCATGGAAGAGCAAAGGCACAGCTGTGGTGGACGAGCAAACCAAGCTCAATCCCAAAACAGAAATTTAGGGTCTGTGGAGGGCATTCAAATCCTTATACCTCCCAAAGTTATAGGCAAAACTATATGCACAGGTACCTGCACATTTTCTGAGGACAGGAGTGTTACTATCACCAGATCCTCGAAGAGGTCCTCTGGGAAGACCTCTCTAAGGTCCTGAAGCTTTCAGAAGCTTCATAAAACACACAGAAGACAAAAAGCCCAGCACTGGAGAGGCTGTGAAATTAACACGAATCCAAAGGGAACATTTACCCTCTAGTTGAGCCTATGGACATATTATTTCCAAATGACTGTATCACACCATCCAAGCTGGCCCCACTTACATCTCTGAGCCACAAGTTTGTACCCAGGCTGCAGTATTTCTATAGCAAGGGGAGAGACAGGAGTGACAAACAGGGCTAAGTTCTTCCAAAGTCAAGATGTCCTTTACTGCCCAGGATCTCAGAATATGGCTAGTGTCCAGAAGACAAAAAGCCCAGCACTGGAGAGGCTGTGAAATTAACACGAATCCAAAGGGAACATTTACCCTCTAGTTGAGCCTATGGACATATTATTTCCAAATGACTGTATCACACCATCCAAGCTGGCCCCACTTACATCTCTGAGCCACAAGTTTGTACCCAGGCTGCAGTATTTCTATAGCAAGGGGAGAGACAGGAGTGACAAACAGGGCTAAGTTCTTCCAAAGTCAAGATGTCCTTTACTGCCCAGGATCTCAGAATATGGCTAGTGTCCAGAAGACAAAAAGCCCAGCACTGGAGAGGCTGTGAAATTAACACGAATCCAAAGGGAACATTTACCCTCTAGTTGAGCCTATGGACATATTATTTCCAAATGACTGTATCACACCATCCAAGCTGGCCCCACTTACATCTCTGAGCCACAAGTTTGTACCCAGGCTGCAGTATTTCTATAGCAAGGGGAGAGACAGGAGTGACAAACAGGGCTAAGTTCTTCCAAAGTCAAGATGTCCTTTACTGCCCAGGATCTCAGAATATGGCTAGTGTCCAGAAGACAAAAAGCCCAGCACTGGAGAGGCTGTGAAATTAACACGAATCCAAAGGGAACATTTACCCTCTAGTTGAGCCTATGGACATATTATTTCCAAATGACTGTTGTCACTCTAACCTACAACATGTGGGCAAGGCAAAGCTAAGTGGGAAAGTTGAAACATGACAGATGGTTCAAGGATATTTAGTTTTGCTCCAGAAAACTGCTACAGTTCTAGCAATAAGAGATGCCTACACAGGCTCAGTTCAGCCCTGCCCTGCGGGAAGGGTGAGTGAGGGTGCAGAGCCCCAAGCATTCCTTCCTCTGATGCTTCCTGAGAACCTATTAGCAGCTAGGCCTGTTCCAGATGCTTTGTGTTCAATGGGAAACAACATAGACAGGTACCTGCTCTCATGGAACTGACAGTAAAGTGGAAGAGACAAATGATAAGTAAATAAAATTTCAGACAGTGATAAACACTATGATGAAAACAAAGTCTTTGGAATGCTCTCTGAATCTAGACAGATATGAAGAAAAAGAGGGTAGGAGAGAACAGAGCCACATGGCTATTGCCAAGATATCTGCAGAATGTCCCTAGTGAATGTGACAGTGACGAGAATAGGTAGCATTTCCTGAGAGCTCACTCTGTGCCAGACACTATCAGTAATGAGTACATATGCATTCCTTTAATTATCACAACCCATGAGGTTATAGTATTGGTCCTCCCATTTCACAGGTAAGAAAACTTTTTAAGTGAACACAGGTATTGCTCTGGCCAGTGTAGCTCAGTTGGTTGGAGCGTCATCTCATGCACCAAAGGCTGAGTTTGATTCCCGATCAGGGCACATACCTAGGTTGAGGGTTCAATCCCCAGTCAGGGAGCGTACAGGAGGCAACCAATGTTCTCTCTCACTTCTCTCTCTTCTAAAATCAATAAGCATAGCCCAGTGGCTCAGCGGTTGAGCATCGACCTATGATCCAGGAGACTATGGTTTGATTCCCAGTGAGGGCACATGCCCAGGTTGTGGGCTCAATCCCCAGTGAGGGGCGTGCAGGAGGCAGCCAATCAATGACTCTCTCATCCCTGGTGTTTCTGTCTCTCTCTTGACCTTTCCCTTCCTCTTTCTGAAATCAGTAAAGATATATTTAAAAAACAAAATAGCATATTGTCAGGTGAAGATTAAAAAAAGAGAGACAGAGAGACCAGAGAGAGAGAGAACACAGGTATTAAGTAGTGAAAGGATTTGAAACAGGTAGTCTGGCTCAGTCACTCTGAGAGCTACACTGCTCTCAATATCTACCAATATGAAAAAATGCTAAGTATAGTCTATGAGATACAAAAACAAAACAAAACTAGGTCTCCACCTTGAAACACAAAGAAACACTGGGGAATGGTTCCAGATCAAAGGAAGAACAGACATGACAACTGAACACAATATAGCACCTGGGATTTTCTTTTGCCATAAAGGACATGTTTGGACAACTGGTAAAATCTGAATAAGGTCAGTAGAGTAGTTAATAGTATTGATATCAATATTAAGTTCCTGATTTTAATCATTGTGATGTGGTTATGTAAGGGAATTCTTTGTGTTTAGGAAAAACAAGTGAATTTAGGATTAAGGGAGCATCATGAAGGCAATTTACTCCTAAGTAGTTCAGAAAAATACACACAGACACAGACAGAGAGACAGAGACACACACACATAGATAAAAGAAAAGGAAAAGCAAATGTAGTAAGATATTAACATTTTGGGGAATCTGGGTAAAGAGTACTCCAAACTCTTTGTTGTATTATAACTTATCTGTAAGTCTGAAACTGTGTCAGCATTTTAAAAAGATTAGTCTGAATCTAGTATTTGCCACATTCTCAATTTTTCTATATAACTAAAAAACTTAAAAGGAAAATTCAAAAAAATGGTATGCTCATGTGATGCAAAGCTTTGTTTTTAAAAAGTTTTATGTTTTGCTTTTTTTAGCCTTTTCTGATTTTTCTATAATGAGCTTTAATATAAAAATAAGAACAAAAAAGTGCCCCTTCTGCAGCATCTCCCTTCAACCTCCATCTGATCCTCCCCTTGGACAGCAGTGGAACAACTGTCACTTCCACAGAAGACCCTTTTCAGGCTTACAAAACTTCTTAAGTCACTGGTCCTACAGTCATCTTCACCCAACTACCCTTTCTGCAGGAATCTAGGTCCAAAGGTGACAGGGTAACTCAGCAATGTCCATCCTACATAGAGTGAGATCAGTGAGATTCTCGTATTATTGGGCAGCATGAGAAGGCCCCTGCTCCCTAAGCCCCCAAACTACTATTGAGCTGTAAATCTTAAAGCTCTTCAACTGAGAACACTTGAAACGGGTGCCTCCAGCCAGCTGACGGGATTGAACCCTCAGGAAAGAAACATATCTTCTCCTCGCCTTCACTCAATTCCAGCAGAAAGCCATACATTTCTACTTCCCTGGAAAACTAGCTCTCACCAGCAAAGCTCAGCCTCACTGCCTACTCACACCAGAGCCTGCCAATATTCCCCACACCTACTTTCCAAAGGAGTATCTTGGAAAACATTACCTCACCTGGGACCAAAACAAAAACCCTAAATCACATCCACATTGGATGACAAGAGAATTTAAGAAGCGATGAAGTTCCTTTAAAAATGTAAAGATCCTCTCTGCCAACAACAAAGACACCAAGAGGGATCAGTGTCTCCAAGGGAATGTGTTTTTACACTGGATGGCACGATATTGTTAATTTTCTTCCAGTTTCAAAGAAGGAAAAACAATGATCACATTATAAACCATGGGGAGTGTCTCAAAC